CGGGAGGGGTCCCCCGGCCCCCGCCGTCCTCCACCCCACATCCCAAGGCGGAGGCACCGACTGAGTGCAAACCGGGGAGAGGAAGAGGAGCCTCGGTGCCCCGTCAGGGAGGGACCCGAGTTCCCGTGACAGGTCCACCGCCCGCCTCCCCGGGGACCAGGCTCAGCAAGGGCCCTGAGGCCTCCCTAGGATTGCTGCTGCACACTGGGGTTGGTGTTGGCTATCTGTACCCCCGCTTGTGTGAGCGTGTGTGCAAAGAGCTGTGGAAGCCCGCTCTTGTCTGGGTCCCCAAGTTAACTTTGTGATGTGGGGCAAGTTATCGAATCTCTGGCTTAGCTGCTCGTGTGAGCGCAGCTGGGCGTTCCCGCTACCCGGAGTCGCAGATGACCCGGGGGACCGGCTGCTCCTCCTGGGCGGGAGTGAAGGCTAGCGGTTTCTGGAGCGCCTGGTGCTGCGTTTGGCGATGTTGGATGTTTAGTACTTGTGTTTTGCATATCATCTCCCAAGGTAATTCTCAGAACCGTCCGCTTGCCTGTCTATCCACTGAGAGCAACCCCAGCCACGCCTTGGACTAGTTAGTTGAGTCAGAGTTTTAAGTAGAAGGTAGCGTATTTTAATGCTGTGGTCTGATGTCCATTCAGGCTGTGGGTCTTTTAGTCCAACCTGGAAATCCAAGGAAGGCTTTCTTAGAAGAGGCATGAAGTTGCGAGAGGCATGTAGCTGCCAAGAGACATAAAATGAAGAAGAGTTCTGTGGGAGGGAAGCTGGAGAACAGCAAAAGAGCACACAGGGAGCGCACCACTGAGAACCAAGGCGGCTTTGCGTTCCTGACAGTGTGGCTTAAGAGTGGATGGAGAGCCTTGAGTGTCTTGCTAGAGAGATTTGACCTTCTTTAGTTCGTTACTGTGGAGAGAGATCCAGTGAAAGCTTTTCAGCAGGCTCTTGGACCTGGGTTTGAAAGGCATCTTTGTCATCTTTTTGGCTAAAATGTGAGGGCAGATCTTAGAGCTGCAAGTCCTGTAGGACCAGATCACTTAACCAGAGAGCTGGCCCAGCGGTTAAGAAACTGTACTGCTCTTGTTGAGGATCTAAGTTCAGTTCCAAGCACCCACGTCCAGTGGCTTAACCACCAGGTCTGCGGGATCCTGCTCCTACACACAGTTTTTTTGTTTTGTTTTTAAGGTAAAGACATTATCCATAGTTTCTTCAGTGGAGTTGTGGGTTCCTTAAATGTGTCAAACTGTGTAGTTGGGCATTTTCCAGGTTGAGATTCATCATATTTGTGCTGAAAAGAATGCTATTAATCCAGCAAAGATGTGGGGCTGGTTACAGAGCCGAGGCGGAGAGCTCTTCGGTACACTCTGGGATCCTGGTGCTTAATTGGATGTGGAGGCTGAAGAACGATGAGGGATTGATGATTATCTGGTTTCTATCAGTGATGGCTTAATTGCCTGAGTAGGAGAGATGAGGGAGGAGCACGTCTGGAGGGAGGGTGGTATGTTCAGCCTTTGACAGTTTTGCATTTGATGAATTGAACCGTGTAACATCTAGCTGACAGACAGCATCCCCCGGCTCATTGTTATGCATGAATAATTTAGAAGCAAGAATAATTAACTTAAGTACATGCATCCAGAATAGCAGTAGATACCAAAGACTAACCAATTCTTTTCTGTTCAAATTCCTGGATTGGTGCTGGGAAGCAAGTTTTGAGACGTTGCAAAGGTCATAGTGTTCAAACCATTGCCAAGGGTTTGTGGGTATGCTGCAGGATTTTACTAACAATAGAACCAGATTTCATTTTTAAGTAACTTTTAAAATTAGTATGTAAGTATTCATTTATATATGTAATCATATCTCCACATCTAATGGGTTCTGAATCCTTAGATTCAAACAACCCCATATACTCATGGGTTTAATGTTTGTTTTTTTGAGTCATGGTTTCTCTCTCTAGCCCTGGCTGTCCTTGAACACAGAGATTGCCTGCCTCTGCCTGCCTAGCGTTGGAACTAAAGGCATACACCGCCAAGGCCCTGAGCCAGATTTTTAAAGCTGTATTGTGAAGAGACCAATTTTCCCTTATCATTATTTTCTAAATAATACACCATACCAACTATTTCTGTGGCACTTATATTAGATAAAATGTGGAGAGTGCTTGCCTAGTTACACTAAATAATTTAGAAGTGATTTAAAGTGTATGGGAGGGTGTGTGTAGTTTATAGGCATTTTGTACGGTTATGGAACTGATCCTCTGTAGATACAAAGAGGTCTGCACTAAAATATAATGTGTCTAAGGTTGTCATCGACCAGCACTTTAACTATCACAGGTTACTCCATGGTGCTGCTGAGTCAACCTAGTTTGGCACAGGCCTGGGGATAAGGCTCTCCTGCCGTCAGTTTGATGTGGAGTATTCCTTTGCAGCGACTTCCACACAGTAGTTGAATAACCTTTCACTCCCTTTGTTCTCACCCCAGGCAGTTAGTTCCATAGCAAGTGCCCAGTGAGGGTCCGTAAAGCACAAATCTGGCTATGTCCTTGACAACTCTGGAAGAATAGCTGCAGACTGTTACACTCATACCATGCTTTCTTTTGGCCTGCCCGGGCTTGGACACTGTCCCCACCCCCACCCACCCTTTTCTCTTCTGGTTTTCTTCATGGGAATGATTGTTCTCTAATAGTTGGGTTTTTCTTATTGATCTACTCATTCCCACTCAGATTGGACACATGACACTCCAACCCCACACCCCCACCCCCAGGTCAGCTTTGTCCTTGTGCCATGAGCCACAGCACCTAGGTACTTTACTGCCTGTCTTAGGGTTTCTATTGCTGTGAAGAGATACTATGGTCATGGCAACTCTTAAAAAGGAAAACATTTAATTAGGGTGGCTTGCTTACAGTTCAGAGGTTTAGTCCATCATTGTCACGATAGGACATGGCGGTGTGCAGGCAGACACGGTGCTGGAGAAGTAGGTGAGAGGCCTACATTTTGCAGGCAACAGGAAATGGTCTGAGACACTGAGCAGTATCTTGAGCATGGGAGACCTCAAAGCCCGCCTCCACAGTGACACACTTCCTGCAACAAGGCCACACCTCCTAATAGTGCCACTCCCTGTGGGAGCCATTTTCTTTCAAACCACCACACTGTCTACTGAGTGAATGAGCCAGCCCTTCTTCTTACAAATAAAGTGAGCATTGAGAAGGAGACTGGGTGAGGAGGCTGACTACACTCTCACACTCAGGCCACCATGACAGGTAGACTAGAAGGTGGTCTGAGAGTGGGTTCTCAACAAACAGAAGCTCTGAACTTGTTTCCAGTCCTCTGTCCACTGTCGGTCTTCTTCCTCCACTAGGTCCACTGTTCAGCCTGGAAAGGATTGTGTGCATCAGGGGAAGGGAAGCTGTGCTCATCGCTGTGAGTAGAACCTTGGAGAACAACACAAGTAAGTGTTCGGTTCTGGGGTAAACATGATGTGCAGAGATCAGGTTTTGGTAAAATGTGTTAGAATTGCTTTTTCAAAAACTCCGAGTTGAAAACTGGGTCAAGGGTCCCTCATCTACAAAATGTAGACTGTACCCTGCCTTCCTTAAGCCCCTGCTCTTTCTTGTTGCAGGGAGGTGAGGAGCTGACACCTTGGAGTGCTTTTTATGTGTTTTTTACTTAAAGGCCTGTCTCTATGAAAAGAAAAATGCACACTTTCACCAGGCATGGCAGTCCCTGCCTGTCATCCCAGCTCTTGGGAATTCAGACAAGAGGATCATGAGTTCAAGTTTAGCCTGAGCTACATAGCAAGATTCTGTCTCAAGGGGTGGGTAAGAGGACATGGTGGTGCATGCCTATAATCTCAGCATCCTAGAGGTAGAGGTGGGAGGGTCAGGAGTTTGGGTCATCATAGGTCATACATTGAGTTCAAGGCCAGCTTGGCCTGAGAGACCATGCCTCAAAATAAAAGAGCAACAACTGCTCTTAACTGTTGAGCCAACACTCCTGACCCCCCCCCTTTTTTTTTGTAAATTGTATGTATGTATGTATATAATTTGTATGTATGTTTCTAATGTGCATTTGTGTCTTTGTGTGTACACACCATAGGTATGCAGGTGCCATCAGAGACCAGAAAAGTACATTGGATCCTCTGGAGCTAAAACTGAGGTGGTTGTGAGCCACCTGAGGTCAGTGTTGGGAACCGAACCCAGCTCCTCTAGAAGGTGCTGTAACTCTCTAACTCTCCAGCCCTTCTGTAAAATCTTTAAGGAACAGTAGGGATTGAAGTCAGGCTCTCACACATTGCTAGGCAAGTGCTGAACCACACAGCCACATTCCCAGAGCAGGATGAAAAAAAAATAGCATCCAAGGGAACTAAAAAGAATGCACCCACAGACCTGGAAAGGGCTGGTGGTTTCTGTTTGTGCTGTGTGGAACATGATCTGCTGTCAATTTTCCTTTCCTTTTGCTTTTTTTTTTTTTTTTTTGGACATGATCTATGTAGTTCTGGCTGGTCTACAACTCATTGTATAGACCAGGTTGGCCTCGAACTCAGAGATCCGCCTGCCCCTGCCTCCTGAGTGCTGGGATTAAAGGTGTGTGCCACCACCAACTCACTGCTGATTTTGCTTTTTTGTTGTTGTTTTATTGAGACAGGGTTTCTCTTCCTCTGTGCAGCTTTGTCTGTCCTGGAACTCCCTCTGTAGACCAGGCTGGCCTCAAACTCACAGAGATCTGCCTGCGTCTGCCTCCCGAGTGCTGGGATCAAAGTCGTGTGCCACGACCACCCAGCCAGACGTTGCTCTACTTGATAACACTAGAAACACTTGTTCTTCCAGGGCCTCGTCTCTGGATCAAGCTATGGTGAAAGATGTTTCGAAAAGGCAAGAAGCGACACAGCAGCAGCAGTTCCCAGAGCAGTGAAGTCAGCACGAAGAGCAAGGTAAGAGAACAGGGGCAGCCGCACAGAGCACTGAGGACGGCACTCCTCACTGGCTCTGCGCACCACACTGGCCATGGCCATGCCAGACCCTGGTCTTCCTTCACCTTACCTGACACTCAGTGCTTGCTCTAAGTTTATTATTTTGTGTAATTTTCTGAAATTCTAAAATTCACTCAACTAAATGGGACTAAAGTTATGAGTGGTCTCACTAAAACATACTGATCTAACATTTAAAACGATCTTTTTTAGACTTTGTGTTTGAGGGATTGAGGTGCATTATGTGCCTCAGCACATGTGTGGAGGTCAGACGGACAACTGGCAGGAGCTGGTTCTAGGTCTCATCTTAGTGAGGGTTTCTATTGCTGTGAAGAGACACCATGACCAAGGCAACTCTTATGAAGGAAAATATTTAATTGGGGTGGCTTACAGTTCCAGAAATTTAGTCCATTGTCATCATGGCAGGGAGCATGGTGGCATGCACACAGACACGGTGCTGGAGAAGGAGCCTACAGTTCTACATCTAGATCTGCGGTAACAGGAAGTGAACTGTGACTGGGCATAGTTTGAGCACATGAGACCTTAAAGCCCACCTCCACACTGACACACTTCCTCCAACAAGGCCACGCTTCCAAATAGTGCTACTCTCTATGGGCCAAGCACTCAAACACACAACTCTGTGGGGGCCATACCTGTTCTAATCACCACAGCTTCCACCATATGGATTGTGGGGATTGAACTCACCTAGTCGGGCTTGGGCAACAAGTGCCCTTACCTCAGTGACCCGTATGCAGCCTCTTTTCTCCTACTCCTCCCTCAGATAGGGTCTCAGGTAGCTCAGGCTGGCCTCAAACTCAGCAAGGAGTCCTGTAGCCTAACCTTCCTCTCCTGATTTTCACCTCCCATGTCCTGGAATTACAGGCATGGGCCACCATGCTTGGCTTTAAACTTTTTTTTTATTTAATTTTTAAAGATTTATTTTCAGTTATCTGTACATATATGGTGGGCTGTGCAGGTGACTGTGGCTGCCTACAAAGTCTAAAAGGAGGCACCGGAACCCAGAAACTGGAGTTAAGGTGGGTTCTGAGTTGCTTTGGGTGCCAGAAACTGAACTCAGGTCATCTAGAAGAGCTGTACTGTTTCAGCAATCCATAATATTAGAAATTGCAGGCATGGAGGGGTGAGATCTCTCAGAGTCTCAGGTTTGTGCGCTTGACAGTATTTCCTTCACAGGATTGGTTAAGCTCCATGTATCCGACTGACTGACCTGGCAGTACCAGTGGATTTATGGAACACTCACCTTCTAAGTCAGGGCTTTCCCAGAATGCCTTTCCTATAGGAGAGTCCCAAGGAACTAATTGCTTAGTTTCAGTTTTTGCCACCAGTTTTGTTGTTCTGTTCACAAGGACTGTCTTGTTGTGAGCCAGAAACTAGAGTAATTGCAGAGGGCCGGAGTAGAACAGGGAGACTTTGCTTGGTTTCCTCTCTGTGTCTGACAGGGACATTGGTCACTGGCTGGCTTTCTGCTCGGGGTTGTTCTGAGGTTCCATGGAAATAACAGGACAGCAAGAGGAGGGGTTCACAAAGGCTAGGGGTGTAAGGCATAGTGAAGGGGTAGCTAATGGCTAAGCCTTAGATTGAAGATGCTGACTTCGAGTGTATCTGGTGTGGTCACGTGTCATGTGGCTTATGAAGTTTGCTGTGGAAAATGTCCTTAACTGACCAGATATTGTGTCCGCTCAGCTTAATGAGTAATTTGCATCAGAGAGACATATGTCTTACTGTGTTTCTTCTCAGTCTGTGGATTCCAGCCTTGGGGGGCTTTCAAGATCCAGCACCGTTGCCAGCCTCGATACTGATTCCACCAAAAGCTCAGGTATGAGGGAACGGGTGACTTGGTGACTGAGCTTGTGTTTACTCTCGTGGTCTTGTATAGCAGAGCAAGGTCCCCTACCCTGGTTTTTCTTCCTCTCCTCTGCCACTTCTGGGAAGTTCAGAAACTTTGTGACGTAGGAGCTTGCCAAAGGCACTTAGGCAAAGTGTTCTCAGTGGATCTGAGAGCAAGTATTTGAAAACATCATGGCAAGGACTTAGCAGTTTCAAAACAGCTTTTTAATAGGTAGCAGGAACTGAGTTATACTTGGGCTTAAATGGTTTGGGGAGTGGGGCAAATGTGTTAGCCGGGAAGGCTTTAGGAACCATTAATCTCACCAGGTGGTGGTGGTGGTGGCTCAAGCCTTTGATTCCAGCACTCGGAGACAGAGGCAGGCAGATCTCTTTGAGTTTGAGGCCAGCCTGGTCAACACAGCAAGTTCCAGGACAGCCAGGGCTATACAGAAAGACCCTGTCTCAAAAAAACAAAAACAAAAACAAAAACGGAACCATTAATCTCAAGGGCTGCTTCCAGACACCCTAGTTAAGATGACAGAGGACACAGGGGTAATGAGGATGTGTGTCCCAGACACAACCATCTGAAATTGGTAGCACCTTAGAAACTAGGAGACTCCTAATGGAGCCCTATAAATAGCTGGTAATTGGAAATATACTGCATTCGTTTTCATTTTACCTAAAATAACATTGTCACATAAAATTCATTATCTTTACCTCCAGGTTTTAAAAGGTTGACATAGTTTTTCACACACCAACAGTGTAAACGTAATTGCACTGTACTTCCTTAGCATGGCAGGTGTTGAAAGTGGTTTGAGGCAGTTTCTGAACTGCCTGGATCTTGTTGCCATCTGTTAAGGGACTTCTGACATTATTCTACATATATTAAGAAAAAGAAGTTGGTATTTCTGACTGAATGATAGAACAGATGTCCTGAATCATGAAATCAAGTTCAGTAAAAGGAACTGAAAGTCATAGTTGTGTATCATAAAGGTGGCATTCACTTTCTCTAGTTGGCTTTTAAATTTTGCTTATGTTGAAATGAAGGTTACCAGTGTTCATTTGCCCCTCTCATTGAGGTTTTTTGTTGTTTTGTGTTTTTTTTTTTTTTTTTTTTTTGGTTTTTCGAGACAGGTTTTCTCTGTATAGCTTTGGAGCCTATCCTGGTACTCGTTCTGGAGACCAGGCTGGCCTTGAACTCACAGAGATCCGCCTGCCTCTGCCTCCCAAGTGCTGGGATTAAAGGCGTGTGCCACCAATGCCCGGCAAGGTTTTGTTTTTTTTGTTTTTTTTTTAAGATTTTATTTATTTATTATGTATATAACATTCTGCTTCCATGTATATCTGCACACCAGAAGAGGGCACCAGATCTCATAACAGATGGTTGTGAGCCACCATGTGGTTGCTGGGAATTGAACTCAGGACCTCTGGAAGAGCAGTTACTGCTCTTAACCTCTGAGCCATCTCTTCAGCCCCCTTCATTCAGGCTTTTATACATCTGGTGTAGTCAGCCCTGAGGAAAAGCTGTGTAGAATTTGATGTTTCTCTCAAGAAGTCTTTCATCTAGAAACTTCTAAGAAGCTGGGTGTGGAGCCAGGCATGGTAGTGCCCACCTTTAATCCCAGTGTTTAGAGGCAGGTGGATCTGTATGAGCTTGAGGCCATCTTGGTCTACATAGGAAGTTCCAGGATAGCCAGAGCTAGGTGGTAAGTCCCTGGCTCAAAAGAGCAAAAACAAAGAAACAAATAACTAGCATGGTGGAGTATCTCAGCACTCTGAGAGGCTGGGACAGGTAGCTCTCTGTGCTCCAAGCCATCCTGGTGAACAGAGTGAGAGTTTGTTTCAAAATGAAATGGACTCAGGATGGCTGAGAGGTTGAGAGCACTGGCTACTCTTGCAGAGGACCCTGGCTCAGTTCCCAGCAGCCACATGGCAGCTCACCACAGCCTGCAGCTCCAAGTCCAGGGGATTCATCACCCTTTTCTGGCCCTTTCAGGCATTGCATTGCATTTGTATAGATGTAGGTAAGACATCTGTACACTTAAAATAAAATTAAGAATCTCTTTTTAAAAGATACAAATGTTCTGTGAAGTAGGCACTATTTTAAGCCTATTGTTATCTTAGGTCAAAGCAACAATTTAGACACGTGTGCTGAGTTTCGAATAAAGTATGTTGGTGCCATTGAGAAACTGGACCTGTCTCAGGGGAAGAGTCTCCAAGGACCACTAGACCTGATAAATTATATAGATGTCGCCCAGGTGAGTGAGAGAACAAAACCGATTCCAATTGAAACCTGTGGCTGTGATAGTACTGAATGTAGAGCTATGATGGAAAATGTTTCCCTTGGGTCCTCTGCAGGGTACTCACCATCTTTGGCTGAAGCCTGCATCCCATTCTTGGACAGCACAGAGTTGTAGACTGTGCAAGGTGCCCTGGAGAGTTTCTTTATCCAGACATGGAACTTTTACCTTTTGGGTTTGACTGGTCTCCTGAAGAATTTACTGCGTTCACTGCTTAGATGGTAGATTCTTCTAAAACAATCAGTCAAAATCTTACTCTGCTGAACTGGTTCCACTGGTTTAAAAACTCATGACGTGGACAAAAAAAACCCTTCTGTTATTGTTATGTTGTTTTCCAGACAGGGTTACTCTGCGTATCCCTGGCTATCCTGGAATTCTAGACCAGGCTGGCATTGAACTCAAGAGATCTGCCTGCCTCTGCCTCCCGAGGGCTGGGATTAAAGGTGTGCACCACCAGATTTATTATGTATACAGTGTTCTGCCGGCCAGAAGAGGGCACCATATCTCAATACAGATGGCTGTGAGCCACCATGTGGTTGCTAGGAATTGAACTCAGGTCCTCTGGAAGAGCAGCCAGTGCTCTTAACCCCTGAGCCATCTCTCCAACCCTGTATCTTCTTTTTTAAATACTTCATTTCCAATAAGAATTAAGGTGAGAGAGGCTTCAAAAATATACTCAGGTCAGGAAAATAAAAACAATAATCATTGTAGGTCTGGAGAGGTAGCTTGGTGGTTAAGAGCACTGGCTGCTCCTGCAGAGGACCCAGGTTCTGTTCCCAGCTCATAGCCACCCATAACTGCAGCTCCAGAGGAACAACCATCTCTTCCGGCGTCCTCAGGCACTGCATGCTTATGGCACACACATATACATGCAAGCAAAACACCCACATACATTAAAATGTATATGTATCTTATAAAAATCTACATGTAGAAAAATGAAGATAATGCCATACTGTTTATAAAATTATATTTATCTTACACTTCAGGAGGATCTCTGTGAGTTCAAGGCCATTGTGGTTCATATAGCAAGAGCCCCAGAACAGCCAGGACAACATAGAGAACCCAAAGTCTCTCAAGTCATGGCGACTGGGAGTATTAGATAAGACTCTTGTCTTTATGACCATAAAGGAAGTTACTTAAAAGGAAAATTAGTGAATCTAATTTGCAATTTAGCAGAACCTTTAGTAGAGCATGTTAGTTATCCCTGTATTTAGTTTGGAATATGGTCAATCAAACCAAGTATAAGTGACAAATACTCTTAACTGTTACATGGAAAGATGTTCAAAATTATATTAACACTCCCTTCATTGTATAAGAATGACTGAATTATTTATCCATCACAGAGCTTCTGCTTGATAAAGTGGCACTATTGGCAGTACCATTATTTTGAGTCTTAGATCTGTGAGAAATGATTGGCAGGGTGTTCATAATACTGGGAGGGCCAAGGACTGATGCATCTGGCCATGGCTCAATTACTGTAATTCATTACTCCACGACAACATTTACAATGCAGAACACCTATTATCTGCCAGTAATATCTTTCCTGAGAGAAGACAAATTAGGCAGCATTCTTAGATAGATGAGACCGGCTTGGAGTGGGCTATGATTAGTTATCATCCACTGTTTTGTTTCTGAACAGCTCAGACTGCTGATAGATGGTTTTATGAGTGGAGTTGACTTAACAGCTTGTCGTCCTGAGCCCTGGGATCCATAGTTAGTAAGATGTATCTCAGCAGTCAGACAGAAAATGACCATGAGAAAGATGGTACCTGCTACCCAACCTCCTGATTGCTCCCTGTCCTGACATGAAGATGAGCTTTAAGGATTTGTAAATCTTAAGTAGTGTAAATTTTGCTTGTTTTGAGACAAGGAGCATAATCCTGACTGTCCTAACTACAGACCAGGCTGGCCTCAAACTCATGAGATCCTCCTGCCTCTGCTCCTGAGTACTGGGACTAAAAGCTTGTGTGAACACAGCTGGCTTAATAGTGTAAATATTTTAATGTCACCAAGATCTGTGTGGCTAGAATCTCCATTTGCCATTAGGGTTTACATCACAAAAAGAATAGTACACAGGAGAGGATCAATCTGAATTTGGGGAAAATGCTTGTGTAAACTGAGTCTAAAGGGCCTGAGGCTGTGATAACCAGAAACCAGAAGCAACCTATCAAACTTAAGACGATCATATCATTTTAATGTGTGTTGTTGTTTACATACACTTTACAGCAAGATGGAAAGTTGCCTTTTGTTCCCCTGGAGGAGGAGTTTATTCTGGGCGTTTCCAAGTACGGCATAAAAGTCTCAACCACAGATCAGCATGTAAGTACACTCTAGGAAATCCAGAGCCCCAGCCTTTCAGGGTGCACTTGGACTTGGGTCTCCTGTGTCATGGGTGGTGGCTGGTGTTAAGCTGTCCCTGGTCTTTTGGGCCAACAGGACCTTCTTTGTATTTCCCACATATATGTAGGCCCCCAGTGTTTCACGTAGGGACCCCCTGTCATTTGAAAGTAGCTGTTGGTTGGCGTGGAGGCCAGGCAGAGATGAGGACAGTTTAGATGACCTTGTTCCTATTTCTCTGGTTTAAACAGGAAAGCGTGATCCTGAAAGCAAGTTATCCCATAACTAGGCATGCTTGTGTGCCTTGAGAAACTGTAGGTTTTTTTTTTTTTTTTTTTTTTTGTTTTTTTAGACCGGGTTTCTCTGTTTTATTTCTCTGGTTTAAACAGGAAAGCGTGATCCTGAAAGCAAGTTATCCCATAACTAGGCATGCTTGTGTGCCTTGAGAAACTGTAGGTTTTTTTTTTTTTTTTTTTTTGGTTTTTTGAGACAGGGTTTCTCTGTGTAGCTTTAGAGCCTATCCTGGCACTCGCTCTAGAGACTAGGCTGGCCTCGAACTCATAGAGATCCACCTGCCTCTGCCTCCCGAGTGCTGGGATTAAAGAAGTGCACCACCAACACCTGGCGAAACTGTAGTTCTTTCTCCCAATGCATTCTGCACGGAACTAAGAACATTGGCAGCCATGTCGCAGCTGTCTGAAGGTCTTGTGGTCTCCACAGGGCGTTCTGCATAGGCATGCCCTGTATCTGATCATCCGGATGGTGTGCTATGACGATGGCTTGGGAGCAGGCAAGAGCTTGCTGGCACTCAAGACCACAGATGCAAGCAATGAAGAATACAGCCTGTGGGTTTACCAATGTAACAGCCTGGTGAGACACCTCAGTTTGTTCCCATTCAACAGGTGAAATGGTGACTGTAACTCTCCCACAGCTTCCAAAGGCTGAGGAAATGTTACCCCCACTGGCCATCCTCAGAAGGAATAAATGCTGGGCCAGCTGCTACTCAGGCAGGCTGGGAACGGCTCCTGCCAAGCAACACTAACCTCGGCTGGGTCAGAGCTCGCTCCCTCCACTCCTGGGTTGTCATCTTCTCGGGCTCAGGGCATAGCGCCAGCCAGTACTGTCTGCCCATCTCAGGAGCACTTACCCAGTGGGCAGATGCTAATGTGTAGGTTTCTGGGAAAAGCAATGTGAGGTAGTCCTGTCAAGTTTCCATGTATCATCTCTGTTCTATCTTTTTGTCCATTAGTTCCTTGAGATTCCCGTACAATGTGTTTTAGTCATATTCACAACATAGTATCTCTTCGTACAATGCAGGAGCAAGCGCAAGCAATCTGCAAGGTCTTATCCACAGCGTTTGACTCCGTGTTGACATCTGACAAGTCCTGAACTCTGCAGTCAAGTGGAAACTGAGAACTTACCTGGTCCTCTGTCTTTCTGTTTTCCATTTGCAGCTGTGAACTATTAGAGGGAGTGAGCCCCTCCTCCACCTCCTCCCCAGTTTTTTAAAGAAAAGTAATGTGTAAAATATTGGTTGTTAATAAAAGAGGCTAACAGTGGGTTAACGTCCAATAAATTACCTGCTTTCTGGGCTAAAAAGAAACCTTGGGGCTGGACAGATGGCTTAGGAGTTAAGAGCACTTGCAGAAGACTTGGGTTCAGTTCTCAACACCCACATGGTGGCTCAAAACTGCCTGTAATTCCAGCTCCAGGAGAGCCCTCTCTCCTTTCTAGCTTCCTCAGGTACCAGTCGTATATGTGGTGTACATACATACACGCAGCCACTCACACATACACATAATAAAACATAAAAGAAAAGATAAAAAGAACCCTCTGTTGTCTTTTTAAAATGCAAACAAGCCTAATTAATACCAATGTGTCATAGAAGTTCGCTTGGAATGAGACTTGCACCCCACCCTGTACCTTCCCAGGGACTTGGGGTCACTTGCGAGGAAATCTGGGTTTGGGCAGGCATAGATTTGAACTGGGGAGCCTCAATTTCACATGACTTTGGAGTAGTGACAGCAGGGTCAGGACGAAAAGCACCCCCAACAGAAGGTTCATGTCTGCATAATATCTAGCACACTAGTGTCTACCTCAGAGTGAAGAGAACCTTGGAGGACGTCTGCTGGTTTCTGCAAGTGGCTTTAAAAGGATCTCATGGTTCACTCCCTCTGTGCCAAATGCCAATAGCCAACACTTTAAAGATAAAAACCATGTCCATTTAAAAGTACTTTATTTTTTTTTTCCAGTCAAATGACTGGTTAATGGGAAATCAAGTTATTAAACATGCTCTAATTATAAATCACTGCATTAAGGACAATGAAAATAATCCGTTTAGGTTATACAGTATATACAGTTGCGCTGCAACTAGACCAAAGTAATCAAGTGAATGAACTGAATATCATACATCTCAAAAGAGCATTCTAGGCCGCAGGTCATTCTCCACCCTCAACAGCAATTAGACCAAAATAATCAAGTGAATGAATTGGATATCATACATCTCAAGATAGCATTCTAGGCCACAGATCACTCTCCACCCTCAACAGACCACACTAGTCTGTGAATCCTATTTCTGAGTCATCTTCCCTCCAAGTCAGACCTGATGGAAAGTGGCAAAACAATAAAAAAATAAAAAAGCCCGAATTCCACAGCTGACACATGTGAAATGTAAACTTTAAATATAAATAGATATCTACAATGTTTTCCTTTGAGTTACTTTTTCTTCTCAATTTGCAAAGAGCAAATAACTAAGAGAGGATAATTAGGAGGAAAGTCAATAGAATTTCTCTTCTGGTAAAAAGCACTATCCGTTACCGCACAATAGCACCACCAGAAAGTGGAAAAATATTTCCTAGGTGTTTAAGTACCAGTGAACCCCATAAGTTAGCCAGGGACTGGAGTTCAAATGTTGACATAAGTCAACTTGTTTTCTCCAAGATCTGGCACCAGGTCAGCAAAGGCCAATGGTGCAGATGCGTGGGGGGTGTGGGGGCACTGTAAGAGAGGTGCTGGGAAGTGCAATGTGCAAAATGCATCTGTTCAAGCTCTTAAGTCTACGAGAAGTGACTGGGAGGAGGGCTCAAACGGCAGAAATGAACAAGTAGTGAAATCTAATGAGTAGTGTTGAGGTGGGGGAGGGAGAGACTGACTTTAATTACAGATCTAACACGTTTTGTTTTGTTTTCTTTTTATACCCAGAATCAGAAAGACAGGAGATAATCCCGATAACATCATAAAACATTCCAGTTTGCCCTGTTACCTTTGAAACCAAGGGAAGCTCCATGCTTATAAGAGCCTTGCACAAAGAGTAAAGACGTAGCTACTTCAGTCAAGTGTGCCAGCGACAGCGTCGCTGCCTTGTTGCCAAGCCTATACTTCAATCCATTCCTTTTGCTCAAACTCCAGCTTCTGTTCACACCCTATGCTTGCCTCTTCATCCCGAAAAAGTGACAGAATTTCCCATATCTCTACTATGACTTTTATGCTTACAGTTATTAAGTAGAGGTATGACAGTCAAGTTCATGAAACTAATGAGTTTTGATTTTTATCAAATACAACCTAGTTCCCCTCCCCCACCCCACATATTGTTAAGTTTAAAAGTGACTTGATGGCCTTACGTAGTGTAACTGGGATGTTTGGGGGTACTGGGCTCCCCAGGCTCTACAGATTTCTGATATGCTCTTGAATACAAACAATTGGACAGGCTAAATTTCAAGACAGTGTAGCTATCATTCTCCAAAAGGAGAATCCTATTAAAGACAAGACACTAAGCTGAGCGGGTGTCCTGGGGAGCTGGGAGGGGAGGCAGTGGGATGCACCAGGACACAAACAGTGAGGAATGTGTTGCTTACTGTGGTCTGTACCACGTAGCCTACTTGTATACAGTTGCTTTCTTCGAGACGGGTCGGGGGGTGACGGGGACAGGGGGACGTTGAGGGAGGCAAATCCTAAACATCTAGGGCATACAAACTAGTTTAGAGAGCTGTTTTGCAATCCATCATCCTTAGTTTGTAACCAAATTCAGGAACTGCAGTTGAAAAACACTGGTGCAGAACAGACTGCTAATTGCTATGTCTTAATAACCCATCAGTAGTATGCTAGGTATGATTGTTCACAAGAATGGGTTATACAAACATGCAGGAGATCATGGCAGCTGCCACTTCATAGGCCGGGGCCCAGAAAAGTACAAGGCTAACATGTAAACTGCCAAGTTGCTTTAGACACTAGCTGAGTTTCAAAGGAATATATGTCTTAAAGGTGAATGGATGGCATTTGTGGACAAAGTTCAGGGGAGAGCAACAGACTGAAGCAGCATGGTACTGGCCTGCCACTCTGGCTGTGCTAAAGTTAACCAAAGTCAGAACAGGGTTAAGGAAAGCTGTAAGAATCCCCCAAATTTGTTTAAGAATTTTTAGGATCAGCAAGTCCTGGAAATGCAGGATCCTGGGTCTATAGTTAAAATAGCTTTATGCCCGTCCCCCTTTAGGAAATTCTGCTTTTCATAGTAAAAGTATAGCAATGTGGGTGAAAACCTCAACTTATAAAAAGAATCTGCTTATATATGTATAAAAACTGCCTTTGAGTTTTCAGAACAGAACGGTACTATGATAAGATGGGCTGCCATACAGCATGATGCGTGAGACTGGCTAAAGCTAGTCTTGGTACCAATAACAAAATGGAACACGATGGTGACAGAAAGGCCTTTGTTCAGTAGCAAGTTAGTCAGCAATAAAGTGCACAAATGATACGGGGAATGCTCCTTTGCGGCTGGGGTCTCCGTCGATGTGGCCAATCTGAAATGAGCAAGTTTGGGTTACAAACATTACAAACTCAGAGGGGCAACACAACATCTGTTTGTTCAGAGGAATTTCTTCTGCCAAAGAATGACAGAAAAACAGTTATGCCATTTTTCCTTCCTACATGTGTTTGCCTCTTTCCACACCCTCAGAGGAGCTCAGAAGTTGCCTCTGGGCCCCAGCAACATGGAAGACACCAGGGTAGCATCTGGATCCACTCCCCACTTAGTACATGAATGAAGAAACTGTACCCAAAGTCCTAAGACTTGGCAAAAATATGATGTGGCTCCAATCATATTTCATCTGGCTCTAACAAATTCAATCTTGGTAAATAACATAAATTATACCCATGTATAAGCTCAACCATGGTCTGATATTAGCAAATAAAATTCCAAAGGAAAACTGCCAAACTAAACCTTTTTTTCTCTCCCCAGATTGTCCACTGAGAACTCTGGGTTCTCCAGAGGGGGTGGGCTCTGCAGTCATGGCTAACATTTACTTCTTTTGTACCTGTCTGGATTTCCCATACTTTTGGAAACAGATATTTTCCATATGGTTAAGCCTGTGTCAGGTTTGAGCCCATCCATAACAGAATGACAGGCAGTGTGATTCCAACTCTGCTTCCTAGTGGTGGGTGTTGGTGGCTATGTATGTGGAGGGACAGGGTTGGCTTCCGAGAGCCCGGTGCTGGATTCTCCCCAGGCCCAGCCATGCACAAGAGTCTCGGAGCTGTGTTACAGAGGAAAGTGATGGCAATGGGCGTCTTCCCTTAGTTGCTTCAAGGTGACAGCAACTGTGCCAACAGCGGTGATGAAAGGCTAAGCCACAGACCCACCAGAAAACTTGGGGGTCAAGTTGCAGAAGGGGCAGCTACAAATGGATCAGGTCAAACTCCTTGTGGCTGACAAGCAAAGTGCCTCCCAAGTCTCAAGGAGCCTTCTGAAATACTTGGTATCTGAGCTCTATCTACAGGGCAAGGCCCTGAGTGCCCACTGGGTGGCAGTCCCTGCCGAGGACTATGTATACTCCATTGCACTGGTTTATTCCTACACCCACATCCCCAGTCTACCACCTAGCTCATCCCTGCTGCTTCCCGAGGCATCTCTGCAACAGTGCTGTGCACGACTTCCTTTCCCAGATGACGTCAACCAGGTGTATAGATCTAAGCACCTGCTGCCAAGGTCTTCAGCCTGTAATTGGTTGAGTCTGAACTACAAGGGATTGTGGGAGAAGCCCAGTGCCCGCCCATGCTGCACTTTTACCAGCTGGAGGCTGAGAGTGTATAGCTTGTGTTGGGATCAAGTGACACACACAAGGACTCTACCCTGGAGCCCAGCTCTCTGGAAGCCTTGCTCCACACATTGGCAGTGGAGGGTTGTGTGTGGAAGCTCAGTTCAGGTCAAGGGTGCTCTCTCTGGAAATGGAGCTCAAGTGGCCTATCCATTATAGTAGTGAGGTGTTCACCTAAGGCCCACTCCAAGGACAGGAGACACCAGAGGATGTGGAAGGCACTGCACACTAATCTGTCAGAAGCACCAGACCCAGACTGCTTGGCCTGAGAGTTTCCCTTGTGTACAGGCCCCGTGGCTCCACCCTGACTCACCCACCACTCCTGATCTTCCTCCCCATCCACAATGATCACGTCTCCCTCAGAGAAAGTCAGCTCATCCGGGTTGTCGGCCACACAGTTGTAGAGCGCCTTGACTCGCTTGGGCTTGGACTTGGTCTGCATCAGAATAAGGAAGGTGACGGTTAGTGTAGCAGAAAGCCAAGGTCTTACGTAGAGAAGGGGCCTCTTGTCTTCGGCTTGCCTTATGAGCCAAGTACCTGGGCTGGGAAACTCAGGGGTCAAGCAAGAGGGGATTGCTTGGTGCAGCTATACCTGGGCAGGGAAAGGAAATGAAACTCCCGGGGTCTGGCACTCACGGGGACTATAAATTGATCAGATGGCCAAGCAGGCCGGGTCCTCAACCATGAGACAGCACCAGAAAGAAGCCCCAAGACCTCCACCCAGGAGAAACAGAAATCTTGGTTGCTTTGGAGCCCTCCAATGAGGAGAGCAAGGGGCAGGATAGCAGGTTTGTCCACTTACCACCTGTGACTTCCTAGGCATGGGTGCTGGGGGCTGCAGGGCCATGGCGTTGGACAGAGGACCTGGAGCTTCTGTTCAGAGAGATCCACTGAGTTAGGGCCAAGACAAAGCAACTTTACAAGATACCGCCAGCCCCATCCAATCCATTTTAACTATAAGACAATGGCTGTAAGAGTCATGGGGTTATATCTAAAAGCAGGCTCTCCATGCATTTTGTTGTATCAAGAGAAAAGTCCTATATAAGGCAGGCAACTTTCTGACTTTACAGTGTGAGCAATTCAAGCTTCCAAGGCTGACCAGCTACCTAGAAATGCCACTCCCTCATCCCCCATGAATCAACCTGTTCCAGGTTAAATAATTACCAGGTCCTCTTGGCTGGCCTTTGTTGATCAGTGGGGTTGGCTTGTCAGTCCTACAAGCAAGGAATTACAGATTTATTAATCACCGAGGCTACCTTTTCCGACATTACTCCCTTGACAAGGGGCCCCCCATCTGTGCTCAAGCTTGTGCTGGTTGTGACCCATCACATGTGCTGCCTCAACAAACCCACTCCTGAAAAAGGAAAGATCCGGGGCAAGGTGCTAGACCCCGATCTCAAAACCAGTACCACACCTCTGTCCACAGTGGCCCAGACCAGAAGCCAGGCACCCATCACTACTTCCACTCATCCTTTACTTCCTCCAGCCCCCACTTGAGCCTCCATCATCCTGCAAAAGGGGAGAGGCTGGAGCTTACTCTCAGATTGGGTGGCTCTGTCAGGGTCTGTGTACACACCAGCGCAAATCAGCATCACCCATGCTTCTGGACTGGGAACCAACTTGGCTGATCGCAGGCCCCCTGGACCCTGCATCCAGCATTTCCTCTAGCTGTGCAGGAGAGGCAAACAGGAGTGGTTCTCACAGCTATCCACTCAAGACACCCCACACACACCTGTGGATCCTCAGAGAAGTGACTTTTCACTGTAGAGGGCGGGGCACTAACTTTGCTCATTCTCTAAAGGGAAAAGGGACCAGGGTCTGCGGAGGCTAAGAGAGATATTTTATCTTCTGTTGCCTATGGGTGCTGGTGGGACCTAGCAGGAAGTAAGAGAAACAACTGGGTAGGGAGCCTTGGGAGGGGCTGAGGAAGCAGGGAGGTAGCCTAGGGTGGCATTCTTTCCACAGCAGGTCACTTCCTCTGCAGCCCCAATGAGCCCATTTGGGTGCTGGTCTGCAGCCTCAGGATGAAGAGGAAAAGAACATGGCTTGGTTGTTTCCTAATTTTCAAGGGGCTGAGAAACCATAAAAGCAAAGACCTAATTTGATTCCCACTGCCTCTGGGCACAAACATCCTAGCAGACATTATGAAGCCGAGCGGCCAACTTCCTACTTCTCGGTCAGTGAAATGCTCATGAGAGGGGCATAGCCAAGGACCACAGCCAGCCAGCCTTGCCCTCAAAGGCCAGGTAGAGCAGAAGGATCACAAGTTCCAGGCCAACCTAGGCTAATGCATAAAAAGCAAAAGGCCAAATGATACATGTTGGATCAGGATGTGAGCTCTCAGCTACTGTTCCAGGGCTATGCCTGCATGACTGCTGCCATGCTCCCCGCCCTGATAATCATGGACTCTGACCATGAAACCGTGAACCCTGATATACTCCTTCTGTAAGTTGCCTTGGTCATGGTGTCTTTTCACATCAAGAGGACAGTAACTAGGACAGAGATGCTAAAATCTGTAAGTCCCAGAAATCTCACATGCCATGAAACACTCTCTTCTGAAAATTCTACCCACTACATTAAGTACAAACCCCACTGATAGCTCGTGACTCATGGACATAAGTAATGGAGGCAGCTGGCCTGTGGGCCTGCTCTGGCTGTCTCCTGCTCTAAGAGAACAAATATATCATGTTCGAAATTATTGGGCATGGGGTGGGTGGGATGGGATGGGGTGGGCTTCTTTTATAAAGAATACACACCATGTCTTCCTTTAAAAGTGGAATTCTACCAGAAGTGACAGCCTGGTTCCATTCACTGAAATCTGCCTAGGGTAAGTACACCCTAACAGCATTTGCTTTGTCACCCCCCCCCACTTTCCCTTTCAGTTGGATTAAAACCAGTGAGAAAGCTCATCCACAGCCCTAGGTTGGCTCTTGTGAGCCCCGGGGAAGTGGCTGGGAGGAGGGTGCTGTGACATGGCACTTGCTGGCTAGTACCACTATTCTCCTCTGCCTCGGGAGTGCCAGGAGCCCACTGCTTCTTGTCCGGAACACCAAGACATGACCTAGCACTGTAAAAAAGCAGCATGTGGGAGGCAAAGAATCTAAGAGCGTTACAAGAGGGAATATGAAGGGCACACAGGGATCAGGAGAGGCATGGCCCATGGCTGTCCAGCAAAGGGGCCTGGGAAGCATGCTTGTCTTGGTGTAACTCAGCAGACAACCTTACTTCAAATGACTGTTTAAGAATATTATGGTATGAGCCAGGCATTGGTGGCATACGCCTTTAATCCCAGCACTCGGGAGGCAGAGGCAGGCAGATCTCTGTGAGTTCGAGGCCAGCCTGGTCTACAGAGCAAGTTCTAGGACAACCTCCAAAGCAATGCAGAGAAACCCTGCTTTGAAAAACCAAAAAAGAAAGAAAGAAAGATTATGGTATGGTGCAGGTGTGCACTTTGGGTTCTAGAAACATGTCTTAGCAAAGTAGTATACATAACATTTTGATTTAAAAATGTCAGGCTACAGCCTGGGGCTCAGTGAGGAGTTATAGTGAAACTTTAATCCCAGCACTCGGGAGACAGGCAGATGGATCTCTGTGAGTTCAAGGCCATCCTGGGCTACATTAGAGTGAATCAGTCTAAAAGAGAAACAGAGCTCATGCTTTTAATCCCAGCACCGGGGAGGTGGAGACTGGAATGATATAGCTGGGTGGAGAAAGGAGTGTAAGGCGGGAAGGGACAGGAACTCACTGCAGAGGGCAGTGTGAGGAGCAGTACAGTTTGGAGATGCAATCAGAAGACATGATCACCCTTCAGTCTGAGCACTGGTAGATGTGAGAACTCTCTAGTGGGTGGCAGCTTTGTTTCTCTGGTCTTCAGCTTTAATCCCAATATTTGTCTCTGGTTTTTATTATTCATGCTACATTAACCCCAACACCTGGCTCTGGGTTTTTATTATTTGTGCTACAGTTTGACTTACTATGAGAAAGGAAATGGAAAGCTTAAAAGATAAAATTGAGAAAACTCTCGGGAAGTATAAATATATATTTTAAAAGATTTATTTATTATATATACAGTGTTCTGCCTGCATGGTTGCCTGTGTGCCAGTAGAGGGCACCAGATCTCATTACAGATGGTTGTGAGCTACCATGTGGTTGATAGGAATTGAACTCAGGACCTCTGGAAGATCAGCTCTTGACCTCTGAGCCATCTCTCTAGCCCGTGGAAGTATATTTTTTAAACAGGCACAGAAACAACACAGGAATTGAAGATGGTGGCAGAATGGCAACTAATGAGGAAAATCCACTCACACACTCGACTGCTACAATGTAGAGCCCAGCTGGGGACTGCACCCCAGGCCCTGCCTCTAGGTAGTAGGGCCACTAGATCTGCTTTGGTGAAAAGTATGAGAAGCTAACATGCTTTCACCATCACCTTTTCTCTTCAAAAGTGATTTAGGCCCAAAAGAGAAGGGGGGAGGAGGCAGGAAGCCGGGGGTGGGGGGGTGCTTGGGTCTGGGGATCAATCAGGGGCATTTACCCAGATTTCACCTCTGGGATCTGGGGGAGCTGTCAGAACACTTGGGTTATCTGATAAAACTAAGCATATTTAAGGGAAAAGTCAATGGGGTCTGACATCTGAGAAGAGAGAATTATATTAAAAGAAACAATGGGGGGAGGGGGGACCAGAAAGACTTAAAGTATCCAGACACAGAACCAGGCAGGGGGGAGGTCAGGCTGGGGGTGAGTGGTCTAGTAACCTGACTAAAAATCAAACCTGGGTGAGATGAGGAGGCAGTGACAGAGCAGGGGACACTTGGCCTGGATGGGTGGGAGTGGGGGGTTGGGGAGACCTAGAGGCTGCATGTGTAAGGATTCAGGCATTATGCTGGCCTGCCCCTGTGACTGGACAGAATGCACTCAGGCAGTATTCTGGTCAGCCCAGGGTTCTGCACACAGGTGCAAAGGACCCCTTTAAAAGACAGACTCCTGCCCACTTACACTCTCTTTCTGGCTCTTCTCTCCCTCTGCTCTCTTCTCTTTCTGTTCTTTTCCAGCTGTCTTCTTGCTCTCTCTTCCCGCTGTTCCCCTGGGACAGACAGGACTCTTCCTGTCTCCCTCTTCTCTTCTGTCCTCTTTCTGTGTCTCTTTACCTCTTTTCTCTTTCCTTCCCCCTCCCTCCCCTTTCTAATAAAATTTCTCACTTAAACTCTGTTTGCCTGGCGTGTTTGTCCCTCGGCCACCCTCACCTGCCATGGTCCCCCACCCAAGGTCCCCCCTCAAACTTTATCCTAATAGCATGTCTACATGGGGTGCTGGAACAGGACTTGAGCCAAGAAGGGAAAGAAGGCTTCAATCTCTAGGACAGGTGGAGGCAGAGCCAGGAGTACATTCATGGGAGGGAGCGACTGCATTTCTGAACATAGGAGCCAAGATTCTCAGCTCTGAGAAAGAAGTAACAAGTATGGGAATTGAGAGAAAGAACGAAGTCTTGCTGTCCTGTGTCCCAACAGAACCCTCTATGAATTCAGGTCCAGCTTCCAGCACCGCTCATGTAAATAACAGAGCAAAAGTATCATGGCCTGGACTGTTTGGAGTGACCTGCCTTGGGCCCAGACCCCATGTCTTGAGGGAGCCAGTCAGTCACACCACCTGAAGAGATCACCTGCATGTGGGCACTGTGGTCAGCAGACCGGCTCAAGTTTGCTAAGTCAGCAACAGCTACAAAGTCTACAAAGCGGCAAGGCCTCCATGACACCAGCATTTACCAAACGACTTCCATCCCAGGGGTCTTAGCTACGGCAAAGACAAACCGCTCCACTGTGCCATGCCAATCCTGGTGACAAGACTAGTAAAGCAAGAGCACAGCCCAACAGGTGTGTCTGAAACATTAAGTGCTGCCCCTATCTACGTGAGAGAAAGTAGAGATGTTGGCATGAACTCCAAGGGCTCCAAAAGAGAAAGCTACAGAATACAGAAAGGAAAATTTATGCACCTATACATACGTATACTGTAGCTCTGACCACATTACCTCCCATCCAGACCTCATAGCTTAATAGTGAACCCACAAAAAGAATACTCAAATTAAATTTACTTTCTACTATAAAACATAGAATAAGAAATTTAGAGATGGGGGGAGCGGTGCTGAAGAGATAACTCAGTGGTTCAGAACACTGGCTACTCTTCCAGAATACATGGGTTAGATTCCCAGTACCCATAAGGTGGCTTACAATCATCTTTAACTCCAGTCCCAAGGGATCTGACATCCTCTTCTGGCCTCCTTAGGTACCAGATATGTACATGGTACACACACATACAAGCAGGCAAAACACCTATACACATAAAATAAAATAAAAAATTTCTAAATGCTTTCAAAAAGGTAACTGGATCCCTTGTGCATGAAGGAGAAAGCCCTTGTCTATAGGAAACATGAAACTGACACTGTGGAGGGACCATTCATTCAAGATGTTTCTAGGGAGCAAAACACAGAACCATTGAGAGCTTGAGTCTTAAGGACTTGATTTCAAAAATCCCAGTGTTAACACACAAAATCTAAATTAATTACCCAGGTTTAAGATCCAAGTTTGTAATTGATCTCCAGCTAAAAACCTCCTCGAAGAATTAACATTAAGACCCTTGAGAGCTGATCAGTAAGTTACACAGTACTTGGCCTCTCACCCTAGCATGGTAGAAAAACAGGAGATTTCCAGGACTCACACAGAAATCCCAACAGATGAAGAAATGGGGACAATGCCATTGAAAGCCCTCTGAATGTGAGAGGCAGTGTTGGCTGCTGTGGCCAGGCACAGAGTGGCAAGGCAGGGCAATGGTTACCCACCCAGAAGCCGGCTTCTTCTGAGGCAGGCGGCTGGGTGGCTGGGGTGGCAAGAGTGGGGGCTTGCTCTGCGAGGCTCCGGGTTGGGCAGGCTTGCTTGGCTGGTTCACTCCATCTAGTGTGCCGGAGGCCTTAGCCACAGGAGGGGGTGGTGTTGTGGTCAGGGGATCTGCAGAGAGAAAATGGGGAGGGAAAGAGAGAGTGAGCTCCCTAGGTCACAGGTCACGTACCTAGTCTCTTCCTGGAACCTCCTCCCTCTCTAGCATCCTTCTGGGAACTCCTAAGGCTGCTTCTCAGCTTGTCTCCTCGGGGAAACTGCGAGGAGGAGCAAACCGGTAAGGAAAGGGAGTCTCAACTACAACTGATCTTGCTGTGACTCGTGTGTATTTAGCTAGAAACCTGTGTAGGGACCAGCCCTGGATTCTGTGGCCAATCTGCCCCCAAACCAGCAGGACAGGTAGAGTCTGAGGTTAGATTCAAGCCTGACATCTGCCCTGGAGAGCCCAGAATGCTTAGGTCAGGATTCTTCTTGCATCAAGTGACCCAGAAGGAAACAAAACCCTATGTACCCCACTGGCCTGTAAGAGGATACGCTCTAAGGACACACTGTGACAATGGATGTGGTATGGGGTCCCCAGTCTGAGGGGAAAGGGGATGGTTTCTATTATCTGCATCGTCCAGGTGACAGGCTAAGCCTCAGAGGCAAAGTGATACTGCCAAAGTGGGCAGAGCTGTTTAAAAAAACAAAAACAACAGAGGATGAGATCATGTGCTGGGCCTTCCTTTACCCCACCCATCTTAAAAATAACAGAGGGCCAGGCCCTTGTCAGTGGCCTGACTCAGGGTGGGAGCAAACATAGGTAGAACAAGAAAAGACTATGGGGAGGGAAAAAAAAAAAAACCCCAAAAGATCTAGTTTATGGCCCTTTACCCCTCTCTCTTCCCTTCTCTGTTTTAACAGAAAGCCCAGGGTAGATTAGCCCAGGAGCACCATTATGGAGAGGAAGGAGGGAGAGCAGATATGAGTCCTCTTAATGCTTGACCTGAGACTACTACAGCTGAACCCTGCTCCACATCCTCTGCAGAGCTTCCCAGACAAGCTGCTGCTGTGGTGGCTGCCGCCAACAGAATGAAAAATGTCTGGCTTCGCAGCAGGAGAAAGGCCCTTTCCCACTCTGGCTCCCAGAGTCAGGAACTACCAACCACACACCGGCATGGAAAATACCATGCCAGATCATGAAATGACCACCCCCAAATCACTATACAGCTAAAGGAGCTGGAAGTATGTTGTGTGTAAGGGGTAAGGGGATGTTGTTAAAATGCCTTGTGAGACAGAGACCAGTGAGCCATCTTGGGCGGGGGGTGAGGAAATAGATGGGTGGAATTTGAGGTGGAAGCAGCAAGGGTTGGGGCCACGAGGGCAACTTCTGAGATTTATCTGTGAGCAGCCCATAGCTATCTCCCCCAAGTGGCTGCCAACAGTGCCCCCTTTTTTTTCCGGATTCATAAGGCCCACTGGCAAGAAAGGAAAAAGGAGGAAAAAAAAAAAAAAACGTACTGGTCGATGTCACTCGCAGAGGGGGCAGCGGTGGGTGGACAGCTGGCAGATCTGACGAAGATCGCTGCCTGCTGACACCGTCCACACCTACAGAGTTTGTCTTCCACAGGGTGTTAGCTGAGGTGGCTGTCTGAACTAAACCCACACGCATACACACACGCACACACAGGCACACGCACACGCGCACACACGGAACAAAAACAGAAACAAAACACTTTGTTATTGATCCTCTCACCCATTAAAAGGTCAACATGAACCTTCTAGAACAGCAACAGAGACCTGAGACTTAGTCTTTTCTCTAGTAGAAAAAGTGAGATGCATCCAAAAAACAACAATAATAATAAAATAGTAAACTGCTCCAGGGAACACTCACAGGTGGCCTTTTCAATTTGACGGTGAACTTTTAAACTGTTATAGTCTGAAGGAAGAAATATTGCCATAAATCTGCTGAGCATTGCATTCAGGGCCTATGGAACTTCTGCTCATCTCTATCCTTCTATTACCTCCTACAATGGGCCACAGAGACCCTGTTCTCGGCCAGTATGGGCAAAAGGAAGGGTGTGTTCCAAACACAAGGGGCGGGGCTCTCCCCAGCCTCTTGTCTGGAACTCAGCACATGGCCCTTTAGTAGCTTCAGATGACCCTCAAAGCCATAGCACTTGCTCAGTCATGATCTTTCTCACCGTGTGCCATTTACTCAGAAGCACAGGGGTGCCTAAGGGAGGGCGGGGCATGGCAGTATGGAGACACATGCTCCCAGGCTAGCCCCAGGACTGACAGGCAGCCTTCAAACTTGCCCTATGGTGAGGAAGTTCTGTACTCCAGTGTGGGACACCGGACAGTGTTAACCCTATCCCCTATGCCGTGGTGTGAGAACTCCATGTTCACACCAAGTGTGGACTCTAGGGTAGGAAAGATGTAGGATAGGAGTGCAAATTACTTCGTGTGAAAAAAAAAAAAAAAAAGAGCTAAAATATAATGGCCAGAAAAATGGGAAAAGCAATCCCTCTGATTCTAAGACTGCAGGAAATCAAGATGAGGAGCTGACCAATCCTCTCCTATCATTCATGGGAGCAAATGAAGTCTCTCCTGTCACAGAGCCAGCACAAGCTACTCCTGGGAAGGAGATACCAGTCTCTGTGGCATTGGGCCTTTCAGAATTAACAGAGGATGAAGGAGCTGTGAAATGCCCGCAAAGGACCTGCACTGCCCTGGACAGCCTATAAGAGGTGACAGGGAGTGCTCATGAAGTCCAGGAGGAGATTAAGGAGGGGATGCCAGTGGGAGCAGGGGGTATAGGGTCTGATCTTCATACTTGTGCTCCTTAGTGACTCACCTAAGTTTTTGGACCTCCCTGAGTGTTAGGGCAGGGCAGCGGCATGTGTGGTGTGGTCTGTCCAGCTGGTCTTCCAGCTATTCAATAACCAGTACCACCCCACACTGCCCACCCCTCTCCCAGCCACCAGCTGCTGCAAGAGACAATTTGCAACGTTTTTATGCATAGTGGAAGCTATTCTTCTTTCAAGAGAACTCCCTCCTTGACTCTGGAGGCTCTGAAGACTACCACCTAAGACTGGCAGCCCTGGCAGAGCTGGGCTGGCCATTTGCTGGCCACTTCAAGAGGCAGAGTGGCCGGTTGGTCTTCACTATCAGACAGGCGATTTCATGTTTCTGTATTTGTAAAAGAAACAAACACACACACCAAAAAAAGCCACCTGTTGGTTGGATTTGCTATGTTCAGATGGGGTAGTTTTGTGAGCTTTTCACACTTAAGACACGAGGAAGGCTCACACATTGGTGTTTTTACAATTAGGCTGAGCACTGTTTCTCAAATTACTAGCTTTTACTCCTTCATTTCAAAGGTATTCATCACAGTGCCTTAAACTAGCCCTGAGAAAGAAGAAAGGGAGTAATCAGGACACCAGGAGGAGACCAGATGAGAGGAGCACAGTGGGAAGGGCAACAGAGGACATCCCCACTGACCAGCTGCAGGCCATCACTTCTGGCTTGCCTGGGGCATCCCTGCATTACCTCTGCCAGAGTAAGAACCCAGGTGCAGTCTCTATAGGTTTGGCATGTTAAAACTAAGGGAATTTCTCAAGGCAGCAAACAGAAAACAGCTACAAAATAAACACCCATGCACCAAACTTCTCGAAGTCAAAGCCCATTTCCAGGGGCCTCACCTTTGCCACCGACATTCCGAGGTGGGAGTGGAGGTGCGCTGGTGGTGCTGGGGGGTAACGACTGGGAAGAGGGTGGGCTGCCACTCAGGATGGCTCCGTAGGTCTCATTCTGCAAGATGCTGGGCCCGAAGCCCCTCTGCTTGTCCTTGGTGAGGTTTGCAGTATCTCTGGCCAAAGACACAGCATTGGGCTGAAACTGGCTGGACCCCAGCTGGTAGAAACTGATGGGTCGGTCCTCGCGCCGGTTAGGACTGGGCTGCAGAGGAATGCCAGGGTGAGAGCATGAGATGGAGCTGTAAGCATGAGTTTTCTGGTCTGGCAGGTCCCGTGGGCCTTCTCTGCCCCAAAGAAGCACACAGACGCTGTATTAATTATAAAGCTGTTGGCCGTTGGCTATGGTTTCTTATTGGCTAGCTCTGTCTTAATTATTATTCCATAACTACTAATCCATGTTTTTCCATGTGGTCTCATTTTACTGGGGAATGCCGGACCTGCAACTCCATTGTCTGCTACATGATGACTGCTCCATAGAGAAGAGAGCAATTTCCTAAAAATCCCTGCTTATATCCTGATTCTTCCCAGCTATGTCACTTCCTGTCTCACCAATCAGCCAATCAGTGTTTTATTTATTAACCAATAAGAGAAACATATGTACAGAAGACCACTCCCCATCATGGAGCTATGGCTTTGTCTGCATGATATCAACTCAAAGAAGCAGTGAGAAACATTCATCACTGCTGCATGGTGGGCACCATTTCAGCCCGGCATACGCTGCGGCATTTGAGCTGCAAGACTTTAAAACCCACTCACTCCAAATCTTCTAATTACGATACACACCCCCACAGAGCCATGGCTTACTAAGTGCAATTCTTCCTTCTGTGAAGGACTTCAAACAGAAGCTATGTCATCTTACCAACCTACCCCAGCCTAGCTCTATGCTGTCCTTGAGGTCCCCTTCCCAAATACACTATCTAATGGGGCAGAACGACCCTGGCCACTGAGCAGCACTGTGTTTAATACAGCACAGGTCAACAGGTTCTTTTCACATTCCTCTGCCGAGATCTTGATAAACCAGGGGTCAGTAAGTCCTGATGTTTGCATTATCACTTGCTTAAAAACAGAGTGTGTCCTTTGTGTATGTGTGCAGGTACATGTGTAGAGGTCAGAGGGCACTGTGGGGCTCGGTTCTCTCTTTCCACCATATGAGCCCTAGCGATCAAACTCAGGTCCTCAGGACTGGCAGAGGCGCCTTACTGTGTTTATAAATAAAAACTTATTGAGATGTAAGCATGTCACATCATTCACATATCTGTACTGTAGGAAACTAAGTACAGATGTTAAATGTTTTCCCATCACTGATGGTCCAACAGCCTTCAGAAATGCTTCCATTTCTATTAATCACCTTCCATTTATACCAACTATTAATCATCTGTTTACACTTTACATTTGAATACTAAAGTCCTATGGGGGGGTGAAATAAGAGGTTAAACCATGAAAATATGCGCGACCAATTCTCTTCTCTTATTTCAATACAGAGCATGCTGGCACACCTGGCAGTATGCTGCGGTGGGTTCTAGAAAGGTCATGGCCAAGGGTTTGGGTCTGGAGGGAAGCTGTCTGAGTTTGTACCTCATAGTCCTGAGGTACCCCCAAGTTATGCTTGGCAGTGTGTATGATAGGGAACTGGACTTGGATGAGAGCCCTGTGCTCATTCCAAGGCTGTGTGAAAACACCTATGTCCTTGAGGCTGAGGCAGCCTCTCCTGAAGTTTTCAAGTGCCCTCCAATAAAAGGAGTTGGATCCGGTGAACTCTAAAGGTAGCTGAGTAGTTCCCACATGGTGGTTTCTAAGGTCACTCAGGAAAACATGACCAGCCACATAAACAGTGTCACCAGCCTACAGGACCTGACTTTGTATAATGGCTCCACAGCAAGTAGGGTGCTCTCCCCCACAATCCTATAACTGCCTGTTCCCTTCTTCCATCAGCGTGGGCTGGAGCTAGGAGGCAGGGAGAGAAACGGGAAGGGGAAGCCTAGAACACACCCAGATCAATGGACACACAAAACATCAGGCCATGGAACCATTTCACTGCTGCAGGGAGACACAGACCTGAAGTTTCTCATCCACGTCATCGTCGCTTTCATCCAGGTCCTCGTGTAGCAGTCGCCATTCATACTCAACGTGAACGTGGGAGTTAAATCTTCCTGACAAGGCCTGAGTTAGCTAGAAAGGAGTAGGGACAGTTAGTTGTTGCTGTCCCCATGCTCAACCACAAAGGACAGACACTCATAGGTGTCCAGACCAAGAATGGACAGGTCAGGGAGGAGGGCCTGGAGGATTCACAAGGAGGTTCCGTTCATTTCCAGGGTAGGTCATTTAAACACCTGGATCTCCATGAGGTACCTGTATCTGATGCTCAAGATAACCCAGACCAGTCCCTTAAAGCTCCCTGTCAGTGACTCTCTGGAAACAATAAAGCCTGTCACACAGGCAAGGGATTTGGGGATCTAAAAGGTGATGACCATCTTATAGGTATTCACGCAACATGGCATCAACTGGACCTCAGAAAGAATGTGTTTACTGGCAAGCCAGCATTCTCACAGTAAGAGAACTGAGCCCTGCAGAAAATAATGTCCCTTTCTTCAATTCTCTTGCAGAAAGTGGCTGGCTAATTCTACTCCAGCTGTAGTTGGTGTTTGGGGCTTAATTGCTCCCCAAAGCCAGACAATTGCCGTGTTACTCTGGGTGAGTCACTTGACTCTTCTGCACTTGCTTTCTCATCCAAAAAAATGGGGAATTAGAGATTAAATAACTTTTTCTTTTTCATTTCTACTTCACCTCCCAACTCCATCACATCCCGGGCCACCTGCCCATGGTAGGTGCTCACCAACTCCTCACAGTGTTCATGCTTGAGCCTCTTGGCGATGTCCAATGGCGTCTCTCCTGACTCATTGGCTGAAAGTCAAGGGAGGGTAAGGAGACAGCAGAACTAGGCCTTAGGGTTTGTATATAAAACACCCCCAAAACTCAGATATTGACGGCTCGATCCCCAACTAGTGGTGCTGTTGGGGTGACTGGATCCTGAACTTAACTTTAAGTGTTTCTCTGTCTTTTGTGTTTTATGTTTTGAGAACTCCACTTAGTTCTGTACCCCTCCCCTTTTTCCACTTTTGAGACAGGGTATCTCTATGTAGCCTTGACTTTCTTGGAACTTGCCATGCAGGAGAGGCTGGTCTTGAATTCATAGAGACCCACCTGACTCCGACTCCTGAGGGCTAGGATTAAAGGCATTCCTCACAAGGTCCAGCTTGTACCTCACTTTTAATTAGGTTGTTTTCATTTTTTCCTTTTTCTTTTTTTAGTATTTCGAGACAGGATTTCTCTGTGAAACAATCCTGGCTGTCCTGGAACTCACTCCGTAGACCAGGCTGACCTCAAACTCATAAAGATCTGCCTGCTTCTGCCTCCCGAGTGCTGGGATTAAAGGCGTGCACCACCAACGCCCGGCCGGAGCTGGCCCTTTCTGCTCTGCAAACAAGGTTTGCTTGGTTTTTACTCGCCCTCCTCCCCACTTCTTCTTTTTAAATTCAGACAGGGTATCTCTAAATAGCTCCAACTTGCTGGAATTCACTGTAGAGACTAAGCTGGCTTCAAACATGCAGTCATCACGCCTGGCTTGACTCGTTTTTATAAGTGTGGCTTTTGAGCAGAATGTATCTTTTCATCTACTTTTCATTTGGTTCAGTAGTTCTCCAAAATACTTCCCCAGGAACCAAGCACAGCTGTTTGGCTCAGAGTAAACTGTACACTGGCAGTGTCAGTGGTCAAGGACCCACAACTGAGGAGAAACAAGGGGCAGGGGGTATTAGGATCTGTTACAGGACTACAAATAAAGGAGGGGACAGTGACAGCACCTCCTCTGTCAAAGGCTTAGTCTGATCTTGGGCGGTTGAGCCAGGGTTGCTACATAGCTCAACTAGATTCACCCAGCTCAGGGCTTCTGCAAGGATGCAGATGTGGCAGGAGGCTAAGACAGACAGTAGGCGGAACCTGTTGATGTAGATGCTGCTCTGCACGACAGATAGGGAAAGGCACTCTTTCTAGTGTGAGAACTACTTCTAACACCAGAAGTGCAGAGCTTCAGAAAGGAGCCCAAGGGAGGCCAGCAGAGCCACCAGAACCCCAGCACACCCTGGGCAGCTTACCTATCTCGATGGAGGCCTTTCCCCGCAGGAGGAGCTTGAGGCACTCGGCATTGTCAGTCAAGCAGCAGTAGTGCAGGGCTGTGCTGCCCTTGCCTGTCTGTTTATCCAGGTTCCCACTGCTCAGAACACAGACAGAGAAAGGTAATAGTCATAGGGAGGACAACTGGCCCACAGTCGGGGGAAACACTTGTGAATCAGCAACAAACAATTATTTATCTAGCTCATGCCCACATCGGGCAGGCACCACTGTGAAGGCAGTCAGGTAACAGGCCATCTCAGAGAAATGCAATGAAGACAGAGAAGACCAGCAACCAATGGTATCTGTGTTGATGCTGAATTTGGGTCAGAACAGAAGTTCTCAACCTTCAGGTAGGGACCCCTTGGTGATCAAACGTCCCTTTCACAGGGGTTGCATATCAGATACTCTGCATATCAGATGTTTACATTATGATTCATAACAGTACGGAAGTTACAGCTATGAAGAAGCAACGAAAATAATTTTATGGTTGGGGGGTCACCACAACATGAAGGACTGTCTTAAAGAGTTATAGCATCAGGAAGTTTGAGAACTGGGTTAGAGGATGGTACACCCTGGAGTAATCTTGGTACCTGTCCCCTCCCTCTAGGCCTGTGGTACCCAGAGTACAAGGTCCACTGTTCAGTCTATACAACCTGCTTCTCCTGTCACACCAGAGAAGAAACAAACTTTTCATTTTGTTCCTTTTATTCTTTCCTTTCAAAATTTGTTTATCTTATATGTATGGGTATTTTGCCTGCATGTATGTCTGGGTAACATGTGCATGCCTGGTACCAATGGAGACAGAAGAGGGCACCGTGTCCCCTAGAACTAGAGGTATAGATGGTTATGAGCCACCATATGGGTGCTGAGAATTGAAGCCGGGTCCTCTGGAAGAACACCCAGTGTCTTAACCACTAAGCCATCTCTCCAGCCCCCTTTCATTTTAATTTTCAATGTTTCCATCAGGGAAGGGAATGCTACTGTTGAGTTCAGTATCCCGAGGCTCCTGCAAGCCTGCTGGCCCTAGGACAGCCCCTTAAAAGTGGGTGAAGGCGGACACTTCTGAAGATTTTCACATGCTGTTGTATCAGGAACAAGACCACGTTACCCAAAATAAAAGGTGCATGTGTTCCACATATGTGATAAAAGCAATTGCCATCTGAAATGTCATCACCCCTGGGAAAGCCAGGGGGCCTTTCATCCATAGGCTGACAAATGGGGACAGAGGGGCCCTGGGGTTAGCACCCGCTGTTCCCAGCAGAAAGAAAACATCACCTCAGTGTGGCAAGCCTCAGAGCCTTCCTTCCTTTCTTTGTGCAAGTTCTATGCTGGAGATAGAACTCAGGGTTCATGCATGTGAAGCAAGCACTTACCACTGAGTTCACCCGAACCGGCCTCCTATCCTGATGCATGCTCTACTGCCGTCTTCCTTCTATTTCAGACGGGGGGATATCAGGCTGCTGCCTCAGGAGCATTTATGTAAGGCAGAAACACAAACTGGCTACTTATCAAATGTCCAGCATCCACATGGGCTGGGCTCAGAGGACAGAGTGTCTAATTGACTCAACCGTGAGTTCTGGAAACTTGGGCTTCACAAGGAGCTGCAGATCTTAGGGCTGCAGTCCTGCATGTCTCTCCTACTTTGCAGCTACTTCTTTGCTCTATTGCCCAGGATGCAGGGAAGGGCAGAGGATATAAACTACTCCCTATTGTTATCACACCAGAATTTCCCATCCCACTTGCAGAGTTGAACCAGCACCCTCTGCTCCAACACAGCTAACCCCAGCCAGATCAGGGAGTCACAGTACAAGCTGAAAGGTCTTGGAACGTGGCTTGCAGTCGCCAGGCAGGGGTACAGATAGAGGTGATACACACTGAGTAACAGGGACTCCCGAGCAACTCAACATGCGGCCTCTCAACCCAAAGGAACCGACCTTCACCCAGTGTTCTGATGCACAGTTCCTGGCTTAGGCCAGGGGCTAATGCATCCTCACTTCCTCAGAGCTCTCTGCTATTGAGATGCTGTGTGAGGACTGACAGGGAAAAGACCCACTCACATCAAAAGCCAGAGAAATGCTCATGTCACAGCTGATGGCCCCGGTTCCACATGGTCTTCCCTGGGGCTGGGAACTGAGCAGCCATGGTTCCCCGGAGTGTCTTCTAGACTCTAGCTACTGGATCTTACAGGTACCACGAAGGCCTTCTGTTCTCACACTCTGGGCTTTTCTAGGGAATTCCCATAATTCATATTTAAACCTGAGACACGAGCATCTCGGCAACAGAGCCCGAGTGATAGAGACAGTATCTGGTCCCTTGCTGGGAAGCCCCAAGAACAAGAACAAAGACATCCACTTAGTGTGACACCTACCTGTTCTGGACCAGGAAGTCCACAATGTGAAGGGAAGTCCGGTCCACAGATCTGACTGCAAGATGGAGAGCTGTCTCATCTGGCTCCTGAAATTCAAACCAAGACATTTGTGATTTCAGTGGCATCTTTTAACCCCAGGACCACCAAGGTGAAACAGCACGTTTCTTCCAAGGCCCTTTTCACCTTTTCCCCAAAGTGTTTATCTACAGTACAGGGTGCCCACTTTTTAAATCTCCACAGCAAAAGGCGTATGTAGTGGTTTGAATAAGAATGGCCCCCATAGGCTCAAATGGTCTCCAGTTAGTGGAACAATTTGGAAAGCATTAGAAGGTGTGGCTTGGGTGGGAAAAGTGTGTCACTGGGGGGTGGTTTGAGGTTTAAAAAGATTTGTGACATTCCCAGTCCAGGCTATCTGTCTGTCTCTGCCTTATGGAAGTGCCTCAAGATATGAGCTCTCAGCTACTGCCCCAGTATCATGCCTTCTGCCTGCGGTCATGTTCCCTGCCATGCTCCCTGCTATGAAGGTCACAGACTCCAACCCTCTGAAACTGTAAGCCCCAAATAAACACTTTCTTCTATAAGGAGCCTTGGTAATGGTGTCTTATCATAGAGATATAAAAGTAACTAAGACAACATAACTTCGAGATTGGTCCTTCCCCTCCTACTCACAGGGCATGAGAAATGCAGGGGGTTTCAAGTTCGAGCCATTTCAGCCGTGTCCCTATCCCTACATCAAAACCACAGGTAGAGAGAAGGTGGGTGGGTGGATCAAAAAGTAGAGGGGAAATAAAAACCCAAAATGTAGAAGGCATGAACAGATGGCTGCCTCTTTCTTCATTTGTCCCACCTGCTCAGTCCTCTGGGCAATCCAGGCACATGCTGCCATAGACATGGGGCTTGAGTTTTCTCCTGAGTGACACTGGCTAACAGTAAGGAAGAGCCTGTGCCACTAGGAGAAAATACTATTACCCTATAACGTTCTCTCTCGTGAGATCTAGCTTAGCCTCGGAGTCTGGGTCCAACATGATGGCCCCACCTAGTACCAGACCATACAGGATGCTGAACCCACTCCTGAGACCAGGAGCTCTTTGGACCTGGAGTATGCACTCATGAGGACTCTGTCGAGGACACTCGACAGCTCCTCAGGTATCAACAGTGTAACACAGACATGATTCCAAGATCATGCTGGAGGAGGTGTTCTATCCATCCCTTCTGGGATGACCCCGAGAGTGTGAGCCACAAGATGGTTCTTGGCACCACACTCCTCAGCATGGCCTCAGAGATGCTCTGGGACTAGCTTCCCACACAAATGAGAAGCTCTTGCTAAACCTGTTTGGGGTGGGGTGGGGTCCTGTTAGGCTTTTTTAAGCTTCTGATGATGGAGTCCCTTCCACCAAAGATGGGCTTTCCTTCAACATCTGGCATTACATGTTTGGTTTAGAATAAACCGACAGGCTAAAGAGATGGCTCAGCAGTTAAGAGAACTTGCTGCTCTTGGAGGGTCCCCTGTTCAGTTCCCAGCATCCATATCAGGAGCCCCACAACTACCTGTAACTCCAGCTCCAAGGGATCTGACACCCTCTACTGTCCTCTGAGGATGCCCTACATGCACGAGGTGCATATATACACTCAGGTATATACACAGAAAATTAAATTAATCCTTTTTTAAAAAAAGAATAAAGCATACAAAGGTTCAGTTTGAAAGGAGTCAATCTAGGTGTGGTGCACAAATGTAATCTCAGTACCCAGGAAGCTGAGGCAGAATGATTGCTAGCGGAGTGAGACTGTTAAAAAAGGAGCAGGGGGGCCTGTTGTATAGTAGTGGCTATAGTCAATAATGTATTTAAGTCATATATTCAAAATTGCTGAGTGGATTTGAAATGTATCCATAGCAAAAGATAAGTATATGAGATGACCTATATTGTGGCCA